CTACTCCACTTCCAATCCAGCTCTCTGCTGTGGCCTGGGAAAGCAGTAGAAAGTGGCCCAAGTCCTTGGGCCCCTGCACCTGTGTGGGAGACCTGGAAGAAGCTCCTGGCTTCTGGGTTCGGATCTGCGCAGCACTGGCATTGTGGCCAGTTGGGGAGTGAACCAGTGAATGAAGACTTTCTCTCTCTCTCTCTCTCTTTCTCTCTCTCTCTCTCCTCTGAGTACTCTTTCAAATAAATAAATAAATCTTTAAAAAAACCCTTTGTTTTCCTGATGTTATTGTAAGTGGAATTATTTCCTTAATTTGATTTTTGAAGTATTCATTACTAACACACAGGAATACTACAAGTGTCTGTTTTCTTTTATTCCCTGTTGAATTCATTTATCAGTTTTAACATTTTTAATAGATTATGATTTCTACATACAAGTTCATGTCATATACAAATTGAATTAATTTTACTTTTTCTCTTCTAATCTTGATGTTTTGTTTCTTTTTCTTGCTTAGGACGTCTAGTACAACTTAAAATAGAATTTTCAAGAGTGACTATTCTTGGCATTCAGTTTTTCACCATTATGTGGCTGTGGATTTTCCTCAATGTCCTTTATCAGTTTGAGCAAGTTGTTTTCTGTGCCTATTTTGTTGAGCCCTTTTATTATGAAATGCTGTTAGATTTTTTCAAATGCTTTTTCTGAATTGGTTGACTGTTTTTATACTTTATGTTATTATATGGTATTTACAGTGTTTGATTTTTTAGATGTTAAACCATCTTTGCATTCTTGCAATGAATTTAATTTGATCACGGTGTAGAATCCCTTTTATATTTTCTAGATTCCACCTGCTACTTTTTTAGGCAACTGTTCAATTTAGTAATGAATGACAGTTACTCTGTAAAATGCTCAGAAAACACTACCGTCAAAATCAAGCATTAGTGATCCTTTCTCTCATGAGCACTTGGTTTAGTTGAGGGGGCAGATTATGTTAAAATAATCATACACAAATCATTATTAATTAAAATAAGTACTATTGAAATAAGCATTATGAAGGGAAGGGACATAGCTCTACATGAGCCTAAAACAAAAGAAGAACCCTGACGAAATGTGGTGTCGTTTGTTCTACAACTTGAAGGGTATTTAGTCATTTAGAGGAAATGGAGCAAGACAGCATAGCACAAAGGAAAATGACATATGTGAGAAGCTAGAAAATCAAAGATTCCAATAATACATCCTTAGAGGGGCTGGTGCTGTGGCACAGTGGGTAAAGCCATTGCCTGCAGCACCAGTATCCCATAAGGGTGCTGGTTCAAGTCATGGCTGCTCCACTTCTGATCCAGCTCCCTGCTGGCATGCCTGGGAGGGCAGTGGAAGATGGCCCAAGTGCTTGGGCCCCTGCGTCCAGGTGAGGGACCCAGAGGAAGCTCCTGGTTCCTGGCTTCAGCTTGGTTCAGGCCCAGCTGTTGCCATTTGGGGAGTGAACCAGAGGATGGCAGACCTCTCTCTCTCTCTGTGTGTATGAGTCTCTGCCTCTTTCTCTGTAGCTCTGCTTTTCAAATAAATAAAACAAATCTTCAAAAAAGAAAAAAAAAAGACATGTTTTAGAGAGGTCTGAGTCGTGGCTGGAGACCACTACTAGACAAAGCCAAAAATTTTCAACTATTCCAAGACAACACAAAGACATCGAAAGAATTTTAAGCAGGTGAAGTGACAGCATCAGATTTTCAAAGATAACTCAGACTGCCTTTTAGAAAATATATGGTAAGGAGGAAAAAGGACTGTCAAAAAGAGGTACAAGAGATCATGGTACTAGGCCAGGTGAGAGATGCTGTTGTAAGCGGGTAGGACAGAAGTTCAAGATAAAAGGAACTGTGAGAGGCCAGTGCTGTCGTGTAGCAGGTAAAGCTGCTGCCTAAAGTGCTGGCATCACTTATGGGCACAGGTTCTACACCTGGTTGCTCCACTTCCGTTCCAGCCCTCTGTTATGGCTTGAGAAAACAGCGGAAGAAGGGCTCGGAAGAAGCTCCTCATTCCTGGCTTCAGATGGGCTCAGCTCCAGCCGCTGCGGCCATCTGAGGAGTAAACCAGCCAAGGAAGACCTCTCTCTTTGCCTCTGCCTCTGCCTCTCTGTAACTCTACCTTTCAAACATACAAATAAAATTGTATTTGTACTTTTCAAACATACAAAACAAACTGTGAAATACAGATGAAATTATAGCTCGGATGCTGTTTGCATTGCTACAGATTTTTTAATAAAAGATTAATTTATGTATCTGAAAGGCAGAGTTACAGAGAGGGAAAGATAAAGAGAGGCATCTTCCATCTGCTGTGGTTGACTCTCCAAATGGCCACAATGACTGGGGCTGGGTCAGATGGAAGCCAGAAGACAGGATCCAGGAGCCAGGAGCTTCATCTGGGTCTCCCACATGGGTGTAGGGGCCCAAACACTTGGGCCATTTTTGCTGGTTTCCCAGTCAAATCAGCAGGGAGCTGGAAAAGAAGTTGGGCATCCAGGACTTAAGTCAGCACTCAAATGGGATGCTGACATTGCAGGCTGCGCTTTACCAGCTATGCCACAACACCAGCCCCACTACAGATTATTAAATGATGTAACTCAAATTCTCCAAATGTTATTGCTAGCACTATCGTAAAATCCATAAGTTTTACAAAATACTTATATCCAAATTATTCAGATTCAGGCTCTTTATGCAATATGGAAATAAGCATAAATTAGTAAAAGGAAATATGGAAAATTTTAAAATTTATATAAATGATTGTATAGCACCAAAACAACTAAATCAAGCGGGCATTAAACTCTGACAAACTCACTGGAGAATGAAAGACATTTTTCACCTTCATTTAAAGGAAATAAATTCTCATGTTAATCCAATATTTTGTTTTGTTTTGTTTTTAAGATTTATTTCTTGGGGCTAGTGCTATGGTGTGGCAGGTAAAGCCACCGCCTGCAGTGCTGGCATCCCATTTGGGTGCCGATTCGAGTCCCAGCTGCTCCACTTCCCATCTAGCTCTCTGCTATGGCCTGGGAGAGCAGCAGAAGATGGCCCAAGTGCTTGGGCATGTTCACCCACGTGGGAGACCAGGAAGAAGCTCCTGGTTCTGAACTGGCCCAGCTCCAGCCCTTGTGGCCATTTGGAGAGTGAACCAGTGGGTGGAAGATCTCTCTCTATTTCTCTTTCTCTGTCTGCCTCTGCTTTTCTGCCTTTCAAATCAATAATAAATAATTTTAAAAAATAAATAAAAGTGAAGATAGGACAGGAAAAGTGAAAGAATGAAGGAAGAGTGGAAGTCAATCAGGATTTTTTAAAGATTTTATTTATTTATTGATTTCAGAGGTAGAGTTACAGACAGAGAGATGGAGAGACAGAGAAAGGTCTTCCATCTACAGAATAGCCAGACAGCCACAAAAGCCAGAAATAGACCAATCCAAAGCCAGGAGCAAGGAACTTCTTCCAGGATCTCCCACCCAGGTGCAAGGATGAACACACTTGGTCCATTGTCTACTGCTTTTCCAGGCCATAGCAGAGAGCTGGATGGAAGAGGAGTAGCCTGGACACTATCCAGTGCCCATAAGGTGTGCCAGCACTGTAGGTGGAGGCTTAGCCTACTACTTTTCTAAAGTAGGTGGAGGCTTGGCCTACTAATTTTCTAAAGCAAACATGCACTAATAAGATAATAGACTTTCATAGTTCTGCTTTTAGTATATTGTTGGACAATTTTTACTTTTAATATTTATAAATTAACTATTTTTTTGTTTTGGAAGGTAATTTTTAAACATGTATTGCTGGTGTAAATGTTAATAAGCAAAGAATTTATTTTATCACAAATTCTGACTTCTGATATTTTCTTTTTGCATATCACATTTACAATGATGAAAATGCTAATTTGCAGAAAAGAGCAATGGAAAATTAATTTTAAAAACACATTTGGTAGCACATATGTTTGGAATAAAATTGTTGTTTTAAATGACTTAATTAGAATACTTCTCATCCTTACTGGAAACTGGTATAATGGCATTATTTAAACCACTGAGTTCTTGCAAAACCCAAAAGACAGGGTTAGAGACACTCTTCGGAAATTTGTTCTGTGCCTTTCAGAACAGTTCTGTTGACTCATCTCAAAAGTACTTGTCACCATAAAACTGAGATGATATTCAGAAAGTTGTTAAATAGGACATGAAGAGAGATCACTCTTTTGCTTTGGTAAAATAACATCTACTCAACATGTAGAACATCAGCATACTTCTTTTTTTTTTTAAAATTTATTTGACAGGTAGAGTTAAAGACAGTGAGAGAGAGAGAGAGAGACAGAGAGAAAGGTCTTCCTTCCATTGGTTCACCCCCCAAATGGCCGCCATGGCTAGAGCTATGCCAATCCAAAGCCAGGAGCCAGGTGCTTCCTGCTGGTCTCCCATGCAGGTGCAGGTGCCTGAGCACTTGGGTCATCCTCCACTGCCTTCCCAGGCCACAGCAGAGAGCTGGACTGGAAGAGGGGCAAGCAGGGCTAGAACCTGGCGGCCATATGGGATGCCAGCGCTGCAGGCGGAGGATTACCCAAGTGAGCCATGGTGCTGGCCCCCACTTCTTAATCTCTGCATCTGGAAGTGGTCTGAAATAAATGGGCTGTTACCAACGGCGATGAGTGGAACACCCCGGGATGGCCCAGGAGGGGCACCTTGCTCCACCTGGTTCCACCAAGTACACTTCGGTGTTCCCTCCTGTTCTATGAACAGCACATTTTCCAAGCAAATTAGGCTCCAACCATTCTCAAACAAAATCCCTGTTTTCTTCTTTTGGTTTCTTTGGAAATCCCCTTGCCATTTCCTAACTCTGTTTGTCCCAATCCGTTCCAAACTTCAAGCTTTAGCTCTCTAAACGCCCTAGACATCCCCTGACCCAGTTCCTTGTGGAAATAAATCTGCCCCTCCCTGTGTTCTCATTTTAATTAATTCCTTGCTTATTCCTGTGTAATACAGTTGGTTATATAGTTACCTAGTTGGTGCATTGTTTTGTAGATTATAAACTGCTTTGAGGCCGATTCTGTCTTATCTTCATAGTTCATCCCTTCCTCTGCATCAGATGTAACTATCTGGTTACCGTGCAGTGTTGTCAGAATGAATTGTCTTCCCGGCTCTGGCTCCTGATGCTCATAATGAGTGAGTGAGTCATGGACTAAACCGAGGGGAGGAGAGGCTGCTGCTCACTGCTTTTAATAGTGCCCTAGGGATGCATTTGGAGAAAGACTTCTTACAGCCGACTTTCTTACACATCAGAAGAAAAAAATAAAGGGAAAAGCCAGAAGAATTTTGACCCAGAAAAATAACAGCATTGAAAATTAAAAAAAAAAAAAAAAAAAAAAAAAAAAACTGAGGTAAGACCAAAAAGGAAGTAATCTCCAAATCTCCTCGGTTGAAGCTGAGGCCCTCAGCTCAGTATCTCTTTCGCACTTTCTGATGGAGAGCTGTGACCCACAGCTTATTTCTGGGAACAAATCCAACAAAGAAACTTTAGATCGCGGATTAAAATACACTAACTACACAGTGTGGGCATTTATTATTCCCCTCTGGAGAACCAGTCTCTTAACTGCTTTCTTGTGCTTATGGAATTGTCTTCCTCGGCCTCACAGGTTCCATGGAAGCTGAAGTTCCAGGTGCCCATTCCTGTAGCCTCTCTTGCGGGAATGTTCAGTTAAGTCACTTTGGCTTTACAAATCAGATGAAACTGCCCAGTAATGGAAGCTTTTTGAGATGATGGACTGAAGAATCTCTCTGGCACAGAGTGAATGACAGCATGGTTAAATGCCAAACGCAGTCGGAGTGGGAGTGCTAACGGCTGTCATATGCTCGGGGTTAACTGTGCTGAGGTGCACCTGTACTGCTCTGTAGGCGTTGGTCATTATGCCATCACAAAATGCATTTCATGGAGGAGTTTGGGGACTTTTCTAGACAACTCTGACTGTTACTGAATCTTTATACCTACTGACGATCAGTTACCCCCTTTGCCTTCCCCAAACCCTTGGCAACCACCATTCTGCTCTCTTGACTTTATTATATTCAAGATACCTGATGTAAGCGGAGTCAGGCAGGATTTGCCTGTTGACTAGCTTATTTCACTAAGAATAATTTCAATATAATGTTCTCCAGGTTCATTTGGGTTGCCACATATGACAAGATTTCCTTCTTGTTTAAGACTGAATATACCATTGTATGTATATGCCACATTTTACTTATCCACTCCACACAGATGGATCTTCAGGCTGTTTCCATACTTGGCTAATGCTGTAAGAACACAGAAGTACACTGATATCAATTCTTATGGTTATATACTCAGAACTAGGGCTACTAGATCATATTTTTAACAATTTTTAAAAATACTTAATTTTATTGATAATTTTAAAAGAAACTCAATAGTTTTTCCTAAAGAAGTTGTCTCATTTCATACTTCTACTAACAAAGTAAAAAGATTCAAATATCTTTATGTCCATGCCAATAGTTTTTTGTTGTTGTTGTTTAATAATCACCATTCTAAAAGGTATAAGATGATACGTTACTATGGTTTTGCTTTGCGTTTCCCTAACAATTAGTGACCTTGAGAATCTTTTTTATACACCCATGGGCTATTTACAATTCTCCTTAGGAGAAATGTTTATTCAAGTTCTTTGCCCATTTTTAATTGAATTATCTTATGCTATTATGTTACAGGAGTTCCTTACATATTTTGAATAATAATTACTATAAATTTATATGTTTTGAGAATATTTTCTACATTCCATAGATTGTCTTTTCATTCTGCTGATTGTTTCCTTTACAGTGCAGAAGTCATTAGTTTGATAGAATCCCATTTATCTATTTCTGCTTCTATTGCTCGTAGTTTTGATGTAATATCCAAAAATTATTGCCAAATCTAATATCATGAATCTTTCCTCCCATGTTTTTTTTAAGAGTTTTAAGTTTCAGTTCTTATGCTTAAATTTTTAGTCCATTTTGATGCATTGCTTCATGTGTATTATGTAAGATAGTGGGTTAATTTCATTTTGTTGCATGTGGATGTCTGTTTTCCCAAAACAATTTCTCAAAGAATACCCTTTGACAACATGACCCATAATGTTTTAGTACACCATTTCTCTTAATGGAGCAGGTGACATTTTTGTCCACATCCCCTTACCTTTTCAGTACCTGCCAATCAACTTCCAACTCTCAGCATCTTCTCTTTGCCTGAGGGCTTGCTGTCTTTCTCTCGATGCCTGAGCCAACCCACCTGCACCCAGGGCAGGATGGAAATGATGGCGATTAATGCTCCACTGGAGCAGTTTGTGATCATTAACTCTTGGGAGCTGGTCCCTAACTCCTGGGGGGCAATAACCATGTGGGATTAAGTGATGGTTGCCCACTATGGTAGCCTACTTGATGATGCACCTTTATTGGCTTCTTTCCTTTTCTCTATTATTCTCCCAATCCTCTACTCAAGTTTATCAAGATCATTTCCCCCAAAATCTGTTTGCATATAAACTCTGTCTCAGAGCCAGCTTCTAGGATCCAAGCTAAGATATTCAATCAAAAAAATGATTTCTGTTGCTTACAACTCATAAACCTAACCATTTTCCTGCTTAAGGGAATTTTTCCATCACATAAAAATGATTAGTCTCATGACAAGTGACAGTCTAAACTCTCAGGATATTTCTGTTTGTTCTTTTCTTTTCTCATTTTAATTGGAATTTTGTAAAGCAGCATGAATTCTGGAGTTTTAGAGACCTAGGGAAAATGGGGAGGCTCTTCAAATGGTTTACAGTAAATGTGCACTATGAAAAGCAACTATGCATGGATTTCAAAAATATTTTTTGAGCAAAATAAATCTATCTTTTAATTTCACCCAACCACAAATTTTTTACCTAACCACAACACTTTTTGAAGTTACTTTGGATTCAATTTAGCTCTTAATAAGCAAAGCACACAGAAGCATTTATCTAATATTTCCAAATCTCAGTTTCTTCTTGGAGAAATGAGAGTGCTTACAACTCTCTTACTGTGAAAATACAGAAAAGAACTATTCAAGCATCTGCATTGCCGCAGTTATAGGAGTGCTCAACATTTGCACATTCTTTTCCTTCTCCTCTCACTTTATTTCTCATATTATACCTTTCCTTGATCAAACTCCTTTTTTTTTTTACATAAAAAGATGAGTGGATGAAAGCCAAAATACCCATAGAAATGTAGTTTGGGACCAGCAGGAATCTTAATAGGATATTTCCCTCTAACTGACAACTTGAATTCTACTATTGAAGATATTTTCACTAGACTGAAGTCCCTACACAATAGTAATTTGATAGAATTTATCTGGTGCAAAGCACAACCCTCTCCCATAGACACAGCTCATTCAGGAGCTGCCTGCTGTGCCCACACCTTGCTCCTGTTCCTCTCTTCAGCACATCAGTCACGTATCCCGGGTTGCCCCCTGTATTTTCTCTGAGACTGCCTTCCACAGAACTGCACACCCTGCACCTTCTCCTCCACCTCTTTTCTTCACTTCTACCCATTCCAGAACCTTCTTAAGGTCTGGACGACTAACCTGACTAATCTGACAAATGCCAGCCAAAACGCTCCTCTAAATAACATTCTGGCTTTTATTAGGACTTTGTGAACACTAAGAAATATTTGATTTGATAACTTTAAGCATAGCAGCAAAAGTTTTGAGGAAGACACATTTGGGCAAGCAGACATTTTTCAAATCCTACCTGATGGTTTACTGCTTATTAAAAAACATAACACTTGCTCTGGGACTCTGACATTTAATAAATACTCCATCTCCTTAATATTTTTCCAATTATCAATTGTCATTTCAATAACACAGCACTTGATGCACCTTGACTTTGGAAATGGGTGACTGCTTTTTTAAATATTTATGTAGTAAGCACTTGCTAAACATTACTGTTTTCACCCTAATGCTCTGGGCATATCAGGTTAGCTAAATAAGATTCCCACACTCTAGGCCCATGCCATGGCTCACTAGGCTAATCCTCCACCAGCGGCGCCAGCACCCCGGGTTCTAGTCCCAGCTGGGACGCCAGATTCTGTCCTGGTTGCGCCTCTTCCAGTCCAGCTCTCTGCTGTGGTCCAGGAGGGCAGTGGAGGATGGCCCAAGTGCTGGGCCCTGCACCCGCATGGGAGACCAGGAGGAAGCACCTGGCTGTTGGCTTCAGATCAGCGCAGCGCACCAGCTGTAGCAGCCATTTGGGGAGTGAACCAACGGAGGGAAGACCATTCACTCTATCTGTCTCTCTCACTGTCTAACTCTGCCTGTCAAAAAATAAAAATAAAAAAAAAAAGATTCCCATACTCTAAAAGCCTAAGTATTAATATTGGTATTGGCTACTGTACCAAATTACCATAGACTGGGTGGCTTATCAAAAATAGAAATGTATTTCTCTTAGGCTAAAGTTCCTGGACCATGGTGCCAGTACCATCAAGTTCTGGTGAGCACCTTCTGGGTTACTCACAGCCCACTTCTTGGTGCAGCCGAATATAGCAGAGTAAAGATGGTCTCTCTTTCAGGAATTTTTAAGAAGAAACTAAACCCAGTTAGGAGTGCTCAACCCCCATGACCTAAGTACCCCTAAAGGCCTCACCCCCAATATTGTCCCATTAGGGGTAGGGTTTCAGGATGGGAAATGTGGGGGGACATAAACACTCATTCTAGAATAGTATTATAATTGAAAAGTCCAAAATATCTGAAATTCTTACATATAAATTGAAGATTGTACTTGACTTGATGTCCAAATGAATTTGTACACACAATACATTCTATTAGAATTCTAAAAAATTAAGATAAATGAGTAATGGAAAAATAAATGAAGACCACACTGAACGTGTGAAAAGTGGGTCAACACTCATAGGCTGGGGAGCATACTGGAGCAGAAAGGAAAAGAGCATCTGACATGGTAGAATGATTGTACCAGAGGTGGAAAGCAGAGATAGAGAACAGACACGCTGCTGAGTAGAGTGGCCTGACATGCAGAACGAAACAGTGGGCAGGACATGGCTCTCTCTCTCTCTCTCTTTCTCTCTCTCTCTCTCCCCTGTCTCTCTTTCTCTCAAATAAATAAATGGGAAAAAATTACAGTAGAGTTCTAATGTGGAAGAGTGGATAATTTGAAGGTGACCAGATTCCGCATGCTTAAACAGCTTTAATGGTTAGAGCACATGGGAATCATGGGATGTACACTG